TTATTAAACAAAAATTCAATTTGATACTTTAAAAATTAGTATATATTGTTCTAAACACAAAAGAGCTCAAAACAAAACATCAAAATAAGAAAATACCGTATTTAATTTGGTTCAAAACCTATAAAATCTTCATTGCTTTCACTGTAATTTATTTTTTTATTATTTAGGGAGCATTATAAATAGTTATGTTTTTAAAAGAAAAAAAACTACTATTGTTATAAATAACACATTCAATTAAACTAAACTATGCATGCCTATTTAAATATATTTACACATGACTTGTGTATATCGTATATATACATATATATATGTTATTCATACCTTCGGTGTATAGGACGCAAGCAGATTTTGACATCAAATTTTGGGGTAAAAAAGTGCATCTTATACACCGAAAAATACGGTACTTAACTGTTTACGAAGCAGTGAATGATTCTATAAACTTGATTGTGTGGAATGTAAAGCAACAGCAAATATGTTTTTATGGAGTAATATCTTTTTAAGTTACTCATTCACCACTTTATTTTTTCCCAACATCTCTGACAACAAGATTGAATAAATCAGATATTACTTATATTTAGTTTTATACACTTAGTTGCTACAGTTTTATAGGGCCTACTGGGGCCCCCAGAACATCCCCATATTCTTCACTGTGGAGCAGAATCTAACCAAGATTCCTGAATATCACCTGGTGAAGAAAACTTCTTTTACTATTATTATTGTACAAGTACTCCTGAAATTTTAAACATTTTCAGTTAAACATTTTATACATTTTATTCACGTCATTTATAACCCAAACTAAATAGTAGTTTTGTAAAAAACTAATTTATTCATAACTCTTTTTGCTTTCTACATTTGCCTGATTTTAAACACTTCTAAATTATGTGAATAATAAAATAACAAAGATAGGGCACACATATATGGGAAAGTTAATCATGCCTTGTATGAAAGCATCATTTTTACTGATCTAAAATTTAGGGTAGGAACCACTGTTAGTTATACTGCATAGAAATAGGAACATCTATTAAAAATTATTATTGTTATTAATACTGAATTGCAATATATGCAATGCTGGTCCTAAGTTGTAGGTGTTTAACATGCTATTTTATACAACAGAAAGCATAAAAGTCAGTAGTTATTATCACAACTTACACTATACAGAAACAAACACACCAACCCAGCTATAAATGTTCATCTCAAGTTACAATTAAAAAGCATAGAAAACAAACAGTACAATAATAATAATACTAAAAAATATAAAATATTGCTTTTTTTTTTGCTAGATATCAATTAACATTGTTAAACTTCTAATTTTAAACCTAGTTTAGGTTCTCATTTTATATGTATATAGTGGTGTATAAGTGTAAAATAGTTGCAAAACTCAGAACATAGTGTGTGTATTCAGAACATAGTGTGTATATTCAGAACATAGTGTGTGTATTCAGAACATAGTGTGTATATTCAGAACATAGTGTGTATATTCAGAACATAGTGTGTGTATTCAGAACATAGTGTGTATATTTGCAACATTTGACACTTATACACTATTAAATGGTGTATATTTGCAACATTTGACACTTATACACTATTAAATGCAATTGATCATTTTACTGGCCAGAAAAAGATAAGTATATATACTCAACTCTCTTTCATTCTTTAACACATTAGTTCACAAGACTAAACATAAACAGTTCATATGCATACTATTGTTCTTCATTAATGTATTTACTCACAAGTCAACTCCTACGAGATCAAGGATAAATGACACAATTTAGGAATGTGGATAGAGCCATTTATCAGAGATTATACACCATTAACTGGATTTTAATTCTTCTTCTTTTAGGAAGCATAAGCATACTTCTTAAATTTCCCAACACATCTGAAAGTGTTGTACAAAATACCAAATTATCAGATATTTACAATTTGTTAATCAGTAGTTTATGAACTGATAAACTGGTTTAAAACCAAATCAGACAAAAAACTATTTAATAAGAATCAATCAACATTTTTTTATAACCCACAAACTACTAATGGAAAAAAAAACAAGAAAATTTTGATCCTTCAAATACCAAAAGTAGAGACATACAAAGAATATTTTGATATATGCATATAGTCCTAGTCTTCAAACACCTGGTTCACACTTATCATGAAAATTGTGTAACATTTTTAAAAGTTTCCAGAATAATCACTAGAATTATCAAATTTGCAATTTCTTTACACTTATGAAACTTGCCATATTTTCGTGGTTCATATGTCAACTCTCTATCTATCAGAATCTGTACTTATGTACAAATACAATAAAGTGGTATAATACATTAGTTTTACAAATCAGAGAGTAAGCAAAGCATCAAGATTACATTTGATTTTGCCTTAGACTCAAAACGTGAAGGAAGTCAATTGTGAGCATAAATGATTCCAGATTACATTTATGTTGCAATTCTAGTGAAAACAGTTTGTAGAAATATTAAAAAAATAAACTAGTTTGTTATCATTACGTGTATTGGACTTGGGCTTATTTTTATAAAATAATTTAAAAAAACACCCAATGAAAAACCAGTGTTACAACAGTATATTTTTCAGATTAAATCAGAAACAAGATAGGGCTAGAGCTTCTGAGTTTTTAAATATGAAACAAGGTAAGCATTTATTATTCAGTTATAAAGTGTGGAGCTAAGCCTATAGACTGAACATTATGTCTCAGTGTTAGCCTACAGTACTTAGGCTTGAGTTTCTGAAAAATTCTTGGCCTTATAAAGTTGCACCAGTCAATATTATTTGTTCAGTTAATAATGTGTATTGTTTCATGACCTCAAAATATTTCCCAAATTCAAAATATGGTCAAACTCTTGCTCTAGCAATAAATAACCTCTATGTGCAGAAAAATTATCAAAACTTTGACTTTCTTTTCTAGTTTTATGGAGATTGGTCTGTCAATCAAAAAGAAGTTTGGCTTTTTAATTATTTATCTCTATTCATAATTTTACAGGATTAAATGGAAGGAAACACATATAAGTAGAAGTACCAACTGGTACTTACCCAATGAAAATGCACACATCACAAAAAGATATTTCACTCTTGTCAACCAAATACTTCCACAAGCTTCAAGGCCTTAATCTTTACACTCACCCAAACATCAGTTTCAGATTCTACCACCAGATCACAGCTACTCAGGGAAACAGATTTCAGAATGTTTGAACAAAAAAAGGCTATCTACACATAGCCACATCCAATTTTGAACCGATACATTAGAAAGATAGCACTAGTCAACAGCACCCATGCCAACTCTTGAGCTGCTCTTAACTGATTGAACAGGGGATTTGATTATAGCATATTAGTGGTCCCAAAGTGTAGAACCCATTTTTCAAGCAATGAACATGAACCATGAATCTTCAGTCTTGGTACAATAACCACTAGGCCATACCCTAGTGAGGGATAAAACCTTGATATCAATGATGGCTCAACTGCTGTATAATCTTAATTTTCATGTTCAGAAATAAAATTACTAATTAAATCAATTTGACAGTTACTGCAAACTAATTTGCTAATTTATAAACACAAAAACAAGTAATATAACTTTAAAAGATTATATAATTATGATTGAATGTTATGGTAAAGATTATAGTAATTAAATGAAAAGAAAAATTATGTTTAATTCCAATAAAGTGCAATACTTTTTATATTTGTGTGTGTGTTCGTAGATTTACATAAAAATAATTAATTAATTTATCAAAATAAGTACATGGAAAATGATTAAACATTTTGTATAATCTATTCCATCTTTTTATTGAATTTTAATGTGAGCATGTTGTGTTGCTAAACATACCTGACACAAAAATTATAATTAAACGTTTTTGTTACTTATTACTTTTACCTTTGTAGGAAACATCATTAGAACTAATATTCTAATTTTTGTATGTTTTAGAATACAGAGACTAAAGAAAGATTAGTGTCTAGAACTATTTATATTTTAGAATATAGAGACTAAAAGTTAGTGTCTAGAACTATCTATATTTTAGAATATAGAGACTAAAAGTTAGTGTCTAGAACTATCTATATTTTAGAATATAGAGACTAAAAGTTAGTGTCTAGAACTATCTATATTTTAGAATATAGACTAAAAGTTAGTGTCTAGAACTATCTATATTTTAGAATATAGAGACTAAAAGTTAGTGTCTAGAACTATCTATATTTTAGAATATAGAGACTAAAAGTTAGTGTCTAGAACTATCTATATTTTAGAATACAGAGACTAAAAGTTAGTGTCTAGAACTATCTTTTGTGGCTTTAGTCTTCATACTTTAATGTTTCACATTGTTCAGAAACATTTCTTTCACTTTGCCAAATATTTCAATAATAGTGCTCAACACAACCATTCAAACCTAACATAATACAGAGTAGTTTTTCTGGCTAGGAAATATACAGTAGCAATTATGAGTAGATTTTCATGTCTCTGGCTGCATCGTATCATATCTCAAAGAAGGTTAGTGAAGAAATTACACAATAGTAGAAAGAATAAAAAATTTAAACTATTAGCAACCAATTAATCAGTAGTTAGTCAAGGTTTTCTCATCACAACACCCTTGCTCAGCATATAAAAAAGTTATATTCCAAGTAGATTAATATTTCACATTATGTTCATTAAAAGAACAAACACTTTTACTATTTCTATCAGTAACTAAACTATTCGTCATGTTGATTATGGGAAATCCTGAGATGACGTAACAAGTCATGACGCCAGAGAAAATTTCGCTTACAAAGTACACATTGATATAAATTTCTGACTGGGGCATGAACTTCTAGATGTCGCTGTAGTCCCAATTTTGTAGTGAGTTGTTTTCTACAAACAGGGCAAAGATACCTGTGGAATTTTGATCCCCTGCCATGGTATACTCCTGGGAAATGCCCTAAAATAAAAATCATAATAATTCAGGTATTATGGCAGTTAATCACAATAAAATTTTATCTTTTGAGCTAGAACACTTCAGAAGAGGTGAAATGATGATCATCTTTAACTTTGCATATTGGTCTTCAGAAAACTTTTAGAGACAAATGCAACGTGTAAAAGAAACATATACTAAATGACATTTATGTCCTAGCACACTTGAGACCTTTGATGTACTTTAAGATTCTATAGACAATAAAAATTATGGTCTTCCATAACATTCAGCTTTTGTGTATATTTGTATAATCTGGATGGAGAGTTCTAAAATAAATTGTGTGCTCACAGCAGTCAAATATAGAGGTTGAAATTTGAACAAAATATCTATCTACCATTTTTCAAGCCATACTTAAACATGTTTAAAAAATAGTTCTTGTGTTTGAATAAAAAAACAATTCTATCTTTTGAAACAAACTACAGCCTTTCTTCTTTGATACATTATCCAATAGTTACTAATAATTAAAAGCTATTTACATAAATAAATGCACTGTTAAACCTGTATATCAATTTATTAAATATTAAAGAGGGAAATATCAGCTTTATTTATTCCACTAACATTACATCCTATGAATTACCAGGTAGCTGCATCACATTTTTTTAGTCAGTTGTATTACTTAACAAATTAATGACTATACATAAACACCATCCACACAAAATGGAAACATTTAAACCATTCAAAGCTCTTTAATAAAAATCATATCATTACTAAATAAATTATTAAAAGGTTTACACTAAGATTCACATGCAAACTGATTGTATCAATAATGGCTGTTGAAGAAACTCAGGTGCCTTTAGCACAGAAAATGACTTGACTGTATACAAATACTGCATGAATGTAATAGACACACCATACTTCAGTAGCTTTTCTTTCACAATGTAAAAGTATAGATGATTAACTTGGTGGAGAGTACTTGCATATAGATTGTTATTTTGCAAATAATGTGTGTTATTCTTCACAAACACTGCTTAAGTTCATAAAAAATCAAACATCTTCATAATCAATTACTAGATTTCCACAAATCTATAAAATCTGCACATTTAATCATTGTAAATTAAATCTTACAAGTTACAAAGAAATGCAGATTCAGCATGATAAAGTAAAAGAAAAAGTTAAATTTGCTGAATGTATACAAAAAATAACATTCGAGTTAGATGACTTTAACTGGGACCTGAGCATCGTAAACTTCATTTACTTAAAATGCTATTTTTCTTTTACCTTATAAAAAATTTAATAATTTTGTATTTTCAGATTTCCTAACTTTTGTATCAACTGGAAATTTCAATTAGTACAGATTTAAGGAATGTGCTTCCTTAAACACATAAAACAAAAAATTTAACTATGTTTTGTAGAAGATAAATATATTCATGGTGACATTAGAAAAGATATGTTGTGCAAAAACAGAAAAACCATGTAATTGGTTTCACACCAAATAAACAGAAACAAAATAATAATAGTGTTTCACCTATGACACTTCATGTGCCTTTTACCTTTAATAGTTCTTATCATATATACAAACTGATATTTGTGTGAACATTACTGGTTGAATGAACTGTTTGATAATTCTTTTTGTTCATATGAAACACCTGAATGACAGTGACGTAAATGTCTTTGTAAGTTTGGTTTCCTAGTAAAGACATGGTTACACTGAGGACATTCATAGTGTCGATGAGTTCTGTGTTGATAATACCGATGAGAAGTCATAGACACCTTTGAACAAAATGTTTTACCACACACGTCACACATATAATCTTCAGAAGGTGTAACTAATTCATCTGTTCGTCCTGCTACAGGCCACAGAATCTCTGGAAGCAACAAAATCCATTTACCTTAAAATTTCAAAAGCAGGGAAAATTTCACATGATACAACCTTAACAAACTATCCAAACTTAAAAAACAGTGAGATAGTGAACAAAATTCAATGTATTATTTTTAAAATGTCACCTTCCAATATCTTGCAAATCAATCTTTAAAGAGTTGTCTAAAAATGGCTTTTCTCTCAGGCTTAGATGTCTTGATGAAATTTTACAAGTTTCATTTATTTTGGAAAATATAAATAGATGTACTAGTACATAACAGTAACAACAAATGGTTCAACTGTTGTTAATCTTTCAAATGCTTCAACATGCTTCCTGAGAAAAGTATAGAAGATTTTTGAGGGTTTTTTATCACACGTTTCTAAAAACCTAAAAGATGACATTTCAACCTGCTCTGTTACACTTTAGAACATATAATAAAATGTTAAGCATGATAATGAGAGATATCAATAGTAATGACCTGTGCAGCAGCAAGGCAAAGATGCATTTGTTTGTTAATGCACATTTAAGAGTCTAAGACAATCATTCTTAAGTATTTCATACAAATTAAATTTACATGAATTTAGTGTTAACAACTTAATTCTGCAACTTTAATGACACACTATCCTGATTGAATGCAATTTTCTTTTTCTCTGTTTTGTCAAATGCAGAAGACACTGATCAAATTTAGCTAGGAGATTCCACTTACAGCTTACAAGTAGTATGTGTTTTATTCTGGTAAAAGTTGCAATGAATGTTAAAACATTAATCGTAATTAAAATATAAAAAATAAATTATCCTCTAAAATCCTTACATCTGTATCTGATCAACAGATAATACAACCTCATCAAATGCAGGCATAGTTACAGTGTTTGACCTTTGAAATTGCTTGTACCACACCATTTTTGCTATTATAAACCAGCAGTACATACAAGTCAATTTTCTGATGCTGCAGGTGTTTAGTTACAAGTTTTTAATCAGTGAAATATGACAATATCTAACAAACCTTACAATCTTCTAATAACAAATTTAATGTATACTTACAAAGTATAAAAACAAAACTTTTATTCTGATACTTTCAAACCCAATGTACAAAATCAGAAATCACCTATATTGCCAAAAAATCATTTATTGACACAACTGTAACATATATATATATATAAATTATGATCACAACACAGTACACTCAACATGTCGATAATATTATATATATAAATAAATAATAGAAATAACTGTGAAATATTCTGGATACCATGAACGTAATTTTTGTTACAGTAGCGTTATCACTATGATAGTGATTTATGTTTGTTGCCATTTTATTCTATAAATAAGAAAAGGTTCCTTAATGCATAAACAGACAACACAACGAATGTCCAGTTATTATCCAAATGAGAATTAGTAAATGTTAACATGATAGTGTTTCATATGAGTTGTCAAGTTATTCTTCCACGTAAAAGTCTTTTGACATATTTTGCATGTAAAAGATTTTCTACCAGAGAAATGCATTTTTAGGTGTCTATTTCTGTTGCTTCGATCAAAAAAGGATTTCCCACAAACAGGACAAAGCGGCCTTCCTTTTGTATCCTGACAAGCTGATAATGAAACCTCATCAATCATTCTCTCTGGCAAAGTCATCAAATGGAGTTCTTGTGCTTCAAGAAATTCTAAGAACAAGAATGTTAAATCTCTCAGATTGTATTTAAACATAACTTAAAGGTAGCCAAGTATTAATTGTATGTTACATACACTGAAGATTATGAACCTAAAAACTTAAGGATTACAATTGAATGAACACTATTTTGTGAATGAAAGATAAAGTATACCCTTGCTCAGATTATTTCTATAATATATTATTAGCATTATGACGATGTTACATATACAAACCCAAGATACCAGGAAAAAACAAACAATGATATAAAAATAATGAAACTTGTAACTGGTAGTTTCTATGAAATTCATACACCAACTATTTGTTTTCAATTTGTAATGCTGGGGTTATTAAATTTCCATTCTGCATTTTTATCATATAAAAACATTTTTCTTAGATCTCTTCACCCTGTTTATTTTTGCAATTTTTTTTTCATCTTTTATATTTTGGTAAACCTTGATTTAACATACTTCAATTATAAATAAATTAAAAAATGTAGTAATCTAAAATAACTCTCGCATTACCAAATAGTTAATATACATATGAAATTTGCAGGACATGTCATGAAATAAACAAATCTAACAAAATCATATAATCTTTCAGATAATAATGATGGAAAAGTAGGCAGTATATTATTTTAGTATTTACAAACTTCGTTCCCTTAAAATAATGTTATAGTTTCTGCAAGGCAATGTTTCTTCGTTGTTGTTTTTTTTATAATGTACATTCTTGAAATAAGAGATTATGTTAAGGAACTTTTATGTTTTGTAACTTTTGCCAAAGTACTTTAGCAAAACATCTTAGTACTTATTCACATAATAAACTATATTTCAGATATCTTGCTTTGAATATTTCAATTGAAAGCAACAAATGTTTTTGGTTTAAAATATAAAATAACACTATGTAATGGTATTTTCATACAAAAAAATAGCTCAATTTTTTTCAAATTATGATTCTAAAAATATAATAAAAAAATAATTTATTACTACTGAGTAGGTCTAACATCTTTAGACAGTACAACCACACTGTCTGGTAACATGATGTTTAGTGACGTGCAATGTAAAAATACACTAGAAGAAATTACATTTGAGTAAGCAACACCAGCTATTATCATTGCCTAGCACAAACAAAATCTACCACCATTTGTGATCAGTGCTCACATATTGATCAAACAGGAGAGTATAATTTTTCAAGCAAGAATGGCATATTATGCAAAGCACACACATTTCTTCTCCCATATGTTGTGTCAACTGCATACTGTAGCCAAGCATGCACATCTCCATTTGCCTCACTTAAATACCTGCCTCCTCTTAGAAAGAGTTTATGTAAAATGTAGTGTTGTGATGTTTCAGAGTCAACTACAGTAAATTGTTGCATATGAAACTTGAGAAGCATTTTGTTACATGTTTTGCTTCCGTAGAAACATTGCTAACAAGCTAATAATGTACTGTCCCATTTCAACTTCCTTCACTTTTATATCAAAGGCCATTTATGAGGTTAGCCATTTTCAATGTCTAAACAATTAAGGGGAGTAAAGCTATTCCTTGTGATATTATTAAGGGTACTTTCACACTTCTGAATGCAAGTGGAAGGAATATTTATTGAATGACAGTTTGTCTGGCTGTTTCGTAGTTTCAGTGTTTCAAGTTCGTGGATTTGTTAGCTAACATATGGTTGAAAAAGAGTTAACTTTTCACACTTACAGAGAAGTTTCACTGAAGAGTTAAAATAAGAACAAACATCAAAGAGAGAAAATGAACATCTGGAAATATTAAACATTCTGTAAAAGTACACTAAAGCTATGGTACTACTTTATCCTAATAACAAATATTAACAAGCAGTAATTTTGGTGAAACAATACCAGCCTATGAGTGTTTTAGTCTGTCAGTGTCTCCTTGATCTGTAGCCATAAAAATGTCAAATTTAACTCCCATAACAACATTATATGTAAAAGATATACATTATCTCAAGCACATTACTTACTGAATTGTTTCACAAAGTGCACGTGACAATTTTGTTTTTCAAAATGTTTGCAGCATAGTTAGTAATGTGTGCCAGATTTAAAATCTGTATGACCGAGAGTTACAAAATATGGGAATTCAAATTTATCTTTAATGAATTACTTTTCACATGCAATGTATTAAAAACTTTATAATTACATTTTAATTTATGTAATATGTGGGCATAACAAAAAAGGCTTAAAACATTGAATTCTGCCAGTAACAATTATTAAATAAATATATTGAATGAAAATGTTAAACTTTGTCTTCTCTTTTAAAAAATCTGTAAAATTTTATTTTTTCTTTTATACTACTAGTAGAGGTATAGACATTCATTTAATAATATCAGTCACAAATACCATGAAATAATGGTCAGTTATAAAAAACCATTTAAAATCGTTCTAAAAGTCAAGTGTAAAAAAGAGAATTTCAGATCTATCTTTTGTCTCTCATAAGTCACTGCCCAAGAGGCCTTTCTTGCAATACTAGGACTCATTAGTTGGGCTGGGCAATGACAGGAAAAATATCTGAAATGCTATTTTCAAATGCCTCTGATTTTGGTTCAGAAACTGAAAAATTAAGAAGAATGTGAAAAAAAAAATCTGTGGTTTATTGGATTATTGGTTTTTAATGCTTTGCAAGCTTTGAACATTAAAATCACAATTTCCAAATCAAATCAACAGTTCATTAAAGCTTAAAGCTGGGTTGAGTTTGTGGCATAAATTGTGAATGGTGTTTAATCCCTCTAACATTCCCAGCATACTGAAGAAATAATAACACATTGAAAAAACAAGCAGGTGAATGTACTCAAACAAATGTACAATGTACTATTCCAACCACACAAAAATGTATGATGGAATACTGATATATATATATATATATATATTAGACAATATTGATAAAATAAGATCTTTAGAAACACATTACAAATTTTCAGAGATTCTATAAAGTTCGACAAGAATGATTTTACAAACAGTTAATTGTCAGTCAAGTAAAATTGGCTTCAGTAGGCAAACAAAAATAAATTATGACAGAGAGGATTCCAAATCAAATGAAATATGAAGACAAGTATTTACATTATCTATCACTGGTATATTAACCCATTGACTGCTGATTCGCCACACAGGATACAGTCTGCCTCCAGCAGTTGAATACGAGTGTTCCAGATTAGGTGTACGGCTTGCAAAACTTTTGTGCGTGTTTCGAGCAGCCGCAGTCAATGGGATAATATATTAATTCTTATAAGAAATGCATGATACACCTCCCAAACTTATACCATATTGAAATGTTAAAGGTATCTAGAAACTTTTTGTATACTAGACACAATAATAATCAATTGTCACTGTTCTTATGTTCAGAATGAGTATCACTAAGTATGGAAGCCTGCTTTACCTTCTATGATAATAAGGTTAGTAAGGACTGAATGTGACAGTGTTAGTTACACACAAATGTCTAGATAAAAGGATGTGAAACAGTCTCAGACCATAAAATGCCTCAATTCTCATACACAAAAAAAGTATTGTGAGTGGTGTAATTAAAAGCAGACAATTGTCAACATTTTCCATTTCATATTTTTATGAAAGTTTCTATGTTTGTAATAACATCATTTTCTACCTCTACATTTTTTTATATTAAAGTACCCTTTTCAATTACTTACTTCTGTAAAGGTATGAAACAGCACAATGAATAAAACAAGATGAGTAAGTATATAATAAATATTTTAAGAAGTTTTACCAGAAGAACATTTTGGGATATTAATGTTACTTTTGCAATGAAATACTGGGTGTGGTAAAAAGTTATATGTGAATCACAAATAAATGCATCAAAGCAGAACTTAAACTCCAACCACTTCCCATGTGGTTTGAAGATGTCAGTCACTTCATCCACTAAATATAGTACTATACCACAAACTGGGAGAGGATTCCTAGGAACAACAGCTATATCCTTGGTGAATAGTATATTTGCAAAAACTCTTCTTAAGAAGTATATATTCTGAGGAACCACCAGTCATACAACTGGCCTTTAAGTTGCAAGCACCACTTTACAGTAAGTACTATTATCATATTACATCTAAATTAATAGTAGAGAGAACACTTTACAGTAAGTACTCTTATCATATTACATCTAAATTAATAGTAGAGAGAACACTTTACAGTAAGTACTATTATCATATTACATCTAAATTAATAGTAGAGAGAACACTTTACAGTAAGTACTCTTATCATATTACATCTAAATTAATAGTAGAGAGACCACTTTACAGTAAGTACTATTATCATATTACATCTAAATTAATAGTAGAGAGAACACTTTACAGTAAGTACTCTTATCATATTACATCTAAATTAATAGTAGAGAGACCACTTTACAGTAAGTACTATTATCATATTACATCTAAATTAATAGTAGAGAGAGAAAGATTCACAAAAACTATGTTATTTCCTCTATTATCATGTTGTGAAAACATTGGTGCACACCCATTTTTTGGGACTCGTATCTATGACAACAGGAGCATATCTGTTATAACTGAACATACAAGTTTAAAAGTAAAGAAGTTTTAAAACTACTACTATTATGTATTATAGTAACAGCGATTAACATGGGAAAATGATATGTACAGTATAGACACAAGTATGTTAGAGTGGGAAGCTACAAAAAGGACAGTTGGAGGTTAATTCCATGCTGAAAAGTAAAAAGAGAGGCTGCAGAGCAGAAACACCTAAGTATTTCTTCTCTTTCTTCTTACCTTACAGGTGGAATTAACCTCGATACACAAATGGTTTTGTATTCAAACAGTTTCGATTAAATGGGCATAAGTCATCACACCACAGATATAGGAAATCTAGTACATTTTTTTTTCTGGGCAGTGGCTGTTGACTGTCCCAAAATACTGCACCTCACTTTTTACTGGCAATAAGTTGTAAACTGGAAACAAAGTAATTGCACTTCAAACCACTGACTGTTTTACCTTATGTTATAAGCGGAATCTACATAACAGATGATGCTGATAAGTTGT